CCCCCCTCCCCCCCCCCTTCGACCCTTCACCTTCGAAGGCTTCGAAGGCTTCGAAGCCCCCTCCGCCGAAGGGTCCTCGGATGCAGCCCCGCGAGCACCGTCTGTGTGCAGAAGCTTTGACCCTTTGAAGCCTTTAAAGAAACTTTCTTGTCAGTTTTGCTTTCTTTGAAGCTTCAGACTGTTTCATGTTTCAAGAGAGTTGACTTAGAAAGACTTAAAGCTTTTTCGAACAATGAGTCAATACTCAGATGGAGCACTGTCTAATGAGACATGCAAAAAAAGTCCAGGTTTCGTTGTGGCTTGAGCTCTCCAAAAGCATTTGACTCTCTTGTATCTTGTGGGTGTTGGTTGATGTGGGCAGAGAATGCTTTAAAATGTGGTCAGTGGGGTAGTTTTGCTCTGTTTCGACCATTTCGTTTTGTGTCGCCTGTATTCCATCTTTGCGCGTTTTTTTGCAGTTTAACCTGTTCTTGTGGTTTCATTTCCACACATTCCATTTCATTGTGGGTTCCTGCGATTTCCACGGATTCCCACAGGCTCGCGTTCTTGACGGATCTGACCAGCGCACTGAAAAGAGGATTTGGAAACAAGCAGACCATCACTTCCTTGAACAGCCCACTAAGCACCAACGTGGGCAAACTGCAACAAGTTTGCAAGGTCATGGGTCGATGCCAACAACTCACAATGACACTCCACATCGCTCGGCGGAACTTCGTTGGCGTGGGCATAGTTGGATTGTTTTCGCTTGTCGAAGGCTTTGAGATTGTTGTAGTGGTTCTATCCAGAAGAGTCCAAGTGTGCCTAAAAACAGTCTGTATCTTGGTAAGCCAGAAGGCGAATAGGCACAGGTGAGGCAACTGCCATTTCAAAAACATCGCGATTTACCAAGACCCTTACTTTCCATACTTCCGTTTACTCTGGAGGCCATCCACAACTTGATAATTTCCGCACCCAGAAGCGGGCGTGTGGAAGTACTGGAAACCTGAATCTCTTTGAACAATGGGAAGTGACATAGCAAACTGTGCTGTCTGAGCCTTTTGGATCCGGTGGCCTCTCGCCACACTTGCAAAATGGAATGCTGGGCTCCTGGCACATTGGCCATGGCCAGAAAACCTTCCTTGCTAAAGGTGGGTCTGGATTGTACAAGGGGAATAGGAGTAGCTGATTTTTGCTCCAGTCTAACCCGAAGACAGACCGGTCTTACTGTTTAAGCGCGTTCGATCGGGCTCTTCGGGCACGAAAAACCCAAAGGGAAAGGCAAAGAGCAAAAAAAATAGCAAAACCCGTGTCGAAAAAAGTTATCAAATGTGGCGATGCCCACATTTCGCAAGTTCACTCAAAGAGTCTAGATTTCGGACTTACAAAAGAGCCCACCGGGTGGCTCCGTAGAATTTAATTTTTCCTTGCGTAAATGACAAAATCTGAGCCCTGGAATGCGAAAGCCGACCGTCTTGTCTGCGTTTTGCTTTGGAAATTGGCCAAGCAGTGTACTCCCTATTTCGAATCCCTACTCCTACTTGCCTTGGCCATGGCGGTTTTGGAACGCCATGCTTGCTCGCACTTATCCCTTTGCATACCACCCTCCCAGTGCGACAAAACGCTAACAAAGGCGGGAGTCAACAAACTCTTCACTACGAGCTGCCTCTTTCAGCGTTCTTAGGCCTCATGGCCTCATGGAGCAATTCTCATGGAATTTCGCTCCAAGTCTCAAGTCTCGCATATCGCAGATGCAAGACGCGACTGAGCCGATCAGCAGAAGCAGGCTCCAAGCTTTCCAACACATATTCCAATACTTGCTTTGCATGAGGTTTCATAAGGCTTGAAAAGGTGTAAATGGGAATATAGGAATGCTATTGCGGAATTCTCGTGCTTGATCGTGCTTCAACCGTAGCAAATCCTAATCCCCAGAGAACGTGACCCGAAAAAAAATTCAACCTTGAAACACCCCAGTGCTTTTGAAGAGTTTCATAGTTTGCGTATGAAAGAGCTGTCCTTCTTGCGGTTCGCATGGCATAAAACAAACGAAAATCGTTTCCCGTATTACCCGGTTGCAAGATCTTCAAGCTTCGGTAACAATCAGTTCGATGCAGCTTTTTGCAGACACATGAACATTGCCACAAATACTGTTGCCGTAGCGGCTCTGTTTGACCCTTTACCAGCCCCTAAACGATGGAGGAGGCACGGCGTGGCGATCACCTTGTCACGCAGTTCTCTTGGCACAAGTGCGTGATCCTGTCTTGAGGCCGCTCAAGCTCCGACTGGAAAACAAGAGAAGGTCCAGGCAGCACGGATGTTTCGAGGTGCAGCAACGGGTTGAATCTTCGTGCGAGCGCAGAGCTTCGGCAGTGCTTCGGCCGCAAGAAGACGGCCGTGGCCGTTGCGTTGGTTCGCACGGGCAGTGGTCAGGCCATGCTCGGGCCCTGGGGCCCCAGAAAAGGTTGGAACATGACCGGTACAGGTTCGGCTCAATGGCTGCCCGTTGCACACAGTAAAGCCTGACATTCTGCGAGTCAAGGCACGTGTCCTGATCACAGATGGATTCATATGACGTCCATACGCTGACAGGTCTACGAACCTTTGTTGCTCTTGGGGAAAGATCGTTGCAGCAAGGCCAGCAGCGCATTTTGGCTTGTGAAGGTTTGAACAGCTCCGATCAAGCGATCAAGGTGGACATCCGATTACGAGTCAAAGGCGGCGGTTTCACTGGCCAAATCTACGCCCTCCGTCAGGCCAGAGAGGAGAGCCAGGCATTTTCTTCGACGTGCGTTTGTTTCGGCCAGGCTGTAGCAAAGGGCATCGTTGCATATTACCAGAAGTACATCGATGAGGCATCCAAGAAAGAAATCAAGGACGAGGGCCGAAAAAGAACCTTGAGCCTATCTAAGCCTGGGACATTTTGTTTGGTTTGGTTGTCGAATGAGGACATACTGATGGCTTACGATCGCTCCTTGATCGTGGCAGATCCTCGCCGCTGTGAACCCAAGAAGTTTGGAGGCAACAAGTGCAGTCAATGGAGCGTGTCTTCGATTCACAAGTTGAAACCTTGGCAGGACGCTCTGCACGTGCTCGCTTCCAGAAGTCATACCGATGAGCGTGGAGCTGGACGCTGTTCCCGGAAGCCCGGGCTTCTCCAAGGGCTGTACCGAGGGAGAAAGCCAACCCTGCACTGCTGCATGGATTAGGACCGCAGCCCTGTGATGGTGAGGGTACTGTGTCTTGTGTGGCTCATCTTCCTGCAGCTGTCGGACCAAGTCAAGCGACACAGGATGGAGAATAGGTAATGTCTTTGCCTCGGACGAATGTCTCGGGACATGCTTCGACGTGTGCAGACAGACTGCAGGTCAGCCCGCCCAGCGGAAACACATGTTCCTGAAGGAGGCGGAAGCAAGGACTGCCACAAGCCCCCTGACAAGGGCTTGACAACATGTGTCGCATGTCTGGTCAGACAAGACAATGCAGTGCTAGCCGCTGCTAGCCAGTTCGGATTGTAAGAGATGTCAATCGGAAGTCGTGAATTGACATCGGAACGATCATACACTGGCCGGCAGTCGGCCGACATGCTGAAGGACCCTTTCATGCCTGGCAGCTCTTTTGCTGGCATTATGCGGAATTTGTGTAGGAGTGGTGGGGCGTTGCTCTTAGATCACTGAGTAGGAGAATGTTGCTTTGACTGCTGGGATTGGTTGACATGCAGAGAATTCTCACCTCTTGCACCGCGCTGTGCAAGAATCTGCAAGCTAGTCCAGCACATCCAAGGCTGGGTGCCAAAGCTTGCGTCAAAGGCCAAGGCCAGCAAGGCCAGTGAAGGCAAGAGCCAGACCGCAGATCGAGAGAGCGCGCAGAACGGAGACCTTGAGACTGAGAGCCTCAAGAAGGACAGGGCCAACTGAAAGCCACATGTGGGGGCACTTGCCAGAATGTTCTACTTGAGGTGCTTGAAACTTGAGACTGTGCAAGAGGAAGAAGATACTGTCTCAGAGGCTGTCCAAGACACGGTGCCGTCCCCGCTTCATGCTCAGCCCGCGGAATATAACGGCATGTGGCTCGATGCACATGCGCTCGAGCTGAGGCACGGCGAGACAAGCCTCCGCCCAGCGTTTCCAACCCTCACTGAACTTCAATCTCAGGCTGCGTCCTTTGCGCAGCATTTGCAGCCACAACACGCTTCAGTCGCATGTGACTGAAGCTTTCACTTTTTCGGATCGTTTATCGTTCAAACCGAAGCGTTTAGAAGGTCGACAGGCAGCTTCTTCACGCTACCTGTCGCAATCACTGGCAGGCCTCCGTACAGTGGAAGGTCCGTGTGACCGTCAAATCAACATGTGATGCGACGAGTCAGCCCGAACCAGGTGCTGGAGGAAAACATCAAGCTCTCCCGGGATCTCAGGCACTGGTAGCAGAAGGTGTGTCTTCTTTCTTGTTTGGAAACTCATGTCTGTTTCAGGATGGCCCGGGCGGAGCTTGAAACTGGAGAGATGCGAGAATGTTGGCAGGAGGAGGTGCCCTCTATCCACGACTCTTCATGACTCTTCTATTCCATCTACTTTCATCAGATGTCTAGTCAAGTCAGAGAGTCCAGAGATCTGATGACTGTTGGCTTGGCGCCGGAGGTTGAGTTCTGGAAGAGGGAAGTCATGAACCTGGAGGAAAGTGTGATGGAGCGGGAAGGCTGGCAAGCAACATGCTCGTGCCTTCTGCCAGGCAGAGATACAGGAACAGAGAAAAAACGAAGAAGAGGCGCAGAGCAGTTGTTCGTGACATGTTGCTTACCCGAGGATGTGGAGGGTTTTTGAGACAACCAGTTGCCTTCGAGCATGATGATCACAAAGCATCGCTGGTTGTTGGCCGGCGAGGTCACGGAATTGACAAGCTCTGCAAAGGCGGCTTGTGATTCTTTTTGGTAGACACACGAAGCAGCAGCTAGCAGCGTTATCGCGAAGGTGGCTGAAGTGCCGACGGAAGTTCGCAGTGAGGCTTCAGATTCTCACGGAGCTCTTGTTGTCTGATGGTGGCACTGGCTCTCAATCTTTACAGGTTGTCGCTCTTTCCAGGGCAGAGCGCGAGCTAGCAGAGCTTGCACGAGAGCAGGCCGGATTGCGTCGTCATGGCAGCACTGAGGAGGGATGAGGAGGGAAGGTCAGTACTGAGTGCGGCTGTAATCGCAACGGGCAACAAAGCTAAAATGAAACCAGAGGATACCAGAGGCAGAAGCAAGTATGCTTGTTTGCATACTTTGCTTCTTCGTCCGGTCAGAGTGGAGGACTGCACCAGCGTAAGACTTCTGAAGGGATTGGGGTTGTTAAACTTCTGTCGTGAACCTTGTAGGCGAAAGGATGGCCTGACGGCCTTGAGTTTAAGCACTCGTGAGTCGGAGGCGCGATGTGAAGCTGCTGCGAAAGAGGCAGGGGGTATGGCATGGGAAACATGTTTCAATTTCGCGGTTCTACTTTTTCACCTCGTGTTGTAGACTGCCGAGGGAGGAGGCTTCATGGCAAATTAGGGAGGGCAAAGCTGCATGGTATGAGCGAGTATACTTGTTTCATGATGCAGTTTGGTGCCCGCGGCCCGAGGTTGGTGAGAAGGATGGAGAGCAACAGCTGAGCATTCCTGTTTTCATTCGTGGTACTAACCGACAAGGTAAAGGCCACCGGGGACAGAGTGTCGAACACGAGGCTTCTTCCCACTCTCACCCCACGTATGAACAAAGCCGTCATCTTGCAAGTCCTCCTTCCGTGTGGTCAGTACACAGGCGCAGCAAAGGACATGGACATTATGCCATAGAGTCGTAGCCATGCCTCAATTTAATCATAAGGACCCTTAGGGGGGTAGGGGGGAGGAAGTATAGTCCACCTTACCTCCCTTAGGGTCCCTATGAAGAAAGTTGCGGGCTGTGCCAGTTTGCAGACGGAAAGATTCAAGACCTCGAATTGATCCAGGTCGAAGGGCGCAACGCCACCCTGCGGCGAAGCTTGAAGCAGAGTGGGCTGGAACGAGGTGTTTTCAGAATCGCAAATTATCACTTCTGTCGCAACTGTCCTTGCAAGGTGGTGCAGCACGTCTTTTCGTCAACGCATTGCCGGCCCTAGATGCACAAGCTGTTGAGGTGCTTTACATTGCTCCTCGCTAAATCGGCACGCCGCGGGATGCATGTGGCTAGGCGGATGGTTCAAGAGCTCATGCTGCCAGGTCGCCAGAACAGCTGTGAACGTGCACATGCAAAAGATGAAGTTGCAGAGCCAAGCTGCGAAGTCTTGATGCAAAACTGTGTGGCTGCCACCGCCTGTGCACCATGGACAGCTGGCGCTGCACCGTGCGCTCCTGCACGCGGTCGAGGAGAACGCTCATGGCAGGCGAGGACACCGACATAGTGGTGGCTCTGCTAGTGAGCGGGAGCATTATGCCGTACTCGAAGTCTGACATCTCGATGGAAAGGGATGCAGACTTGAAGCCGCATTCTCTTGGAGCCGGCAGGGATATCAACATCTGCAAAATGCTGCCCTGCAGCCGTTGTTCTTAAGCAGATTCGAGCAGACAGCAGGCGCAACCAACATTAACCTTGACGTTTGACTTTTATCCATGGACCCATTGTGAGGACACAGGAAATCAGCCATAGAATCACAACGTGAGCTCGTATGTCTAGGCATGTCATCGCTTCCGGAGCAAGGACAGCGATGGCGGTTGTCCGGCAGTCGTGTTGTTCTGTTGCCCTCTGGACCCCTGGAAGCTTTAGGAAGATGCGCCCATTCGACACCGTGTTCACATGCTGTTTCTCTCAGCCGCCGAAGAACCTCGTGGCCAAAACGGCCGAAGTGGCATTTCAGGTGATCTGCAGTTCGGTCGCACCTGTTGCTGAAACCTCAATGTCCTCCTTACTGTATGCAGGGGCGTCGATGTGCCTTCGTCACTGCGAAGGCTTAGCTTTGCTGCATGTAATCGAAGATTCTCAGCCACTTTCGCATTGTGAGTGCTTTCACATCCCAGGCAACAGGAAGCATCAGGTCCGTGGCTTGTACTCCGGTGCATCATCAGTGAGGCGAGGTGGGATGCCGTTTTCGTAATCTGGGCTTGGTACTGGTTCATCGACAAGTATTGTTTTTTGCATGTTCTCCTAGTCCTCCGCGTGGCTCGATGAGCAGGAAGCCTAAGACCGCCTGGCCTATTGATAAGCTTGCGGCTCGCGCTGGCTGTTGACAGGAAGAGCGTCTCAATCTTCTTGAATCTGCTGAGAAACAGAAAAGGCCACGACGTCTAGCTTGACAGACCGGGAAAGCACACTGCAAGCATCTGCAAGCACTGAGTCACTGCAGCATGGAGGCAGGGTCTCCTGCTGCCAAATCCAGCAGGTTCCTTCAGCGCTTTACACAGAAGCCATTCTCTGGTGCTTCGAGTGATGATCGCAGGACCGCATCGCTTTTTTCGGCGACTGGATGCGACTGGTGGGGTGGACTCTTTCTTGGAGGACTTGCACACGCACACACACACACAGCCGTCTTTTTGAGGCATTGACTGCAGGATTGAGTGGACCCAGGCAACGTCAGAAGTTTCATTCCCGATGTGGCACAACCATTCTGATGGTTTAACGCCCCAGCAGATTTCCACTTTCATCTCTCGTGGCATGGCATCCGCCGACCAGTTCAAGCTTCCGCGAAGCCATTCCAGCCTCTTTCACCCGGAGCCTCTATCACGCATGGGCATTCTCCTTTTAGGCCCCTCTTAATTCTTCTGCGGGCTGCGGGTGGCCAGCAGCTGCTTGACCCGTCATGCAATCACGACGTTCTCTTTCATGACGAAGCCTTCTTCGGAATCTTGTCTCCTTGAGAAGAGTTCTTTGTCCAACGCATGAAAGTTGACACTCTCGTAACTATATCCTGAGAAGTCATGCACCAGATGATTGACTGTACCGCTGAGCGCAGCAGTGTTGAGAGTCGTCGAGCAGTTAAGTGCTTACAAGCACTAGACCTGGAGTCCATAGAGCTCTGACAGGAACTGACGGAGCGCCTGGAAGATGCTGTGGCCGGACTACACGGAAGGCTTCTCGCCGAGAGCCAGATGGCCATACAAGTGTTTCGGGATGGCGCTGTCCTCGTGTGAACGTGATGGCCTCCATCTTGCAAGGCAGCTAGATCCAACGCTTGGACGGGTGTGCTCCTACATCGAACCTGGAGGCTTGGGGGAAACGGGACTATGTAGACGAATGACATCTGGCAGCACAAGACGTTGCCGACAGCACAGGAAGGGTTGGAAAAAGAACCGTGCAGACATGGTCCCTTCGTCTGTCTGCCTGTCATTCATGGCCTGTCTGTCCGCGCCCGTCCGTCCGTTGGGGGTCTGTGGGCGTTTGCCTGTGTCTCCGTCTGTCCGTTCTTTGTCCTAAGGTGGTTTGTTTGTCTCGTCTGGTTGGTTTGTCTTTATCTGTGCGAGTAGACGGATCATCGAAGAAACGTCGTGGAAATGCAGGAGCTACATCGGCCCCACGACGTGACACTCGGGCAAGGGCTAGGGCGGATAGGACTTCACAAGCTGTTCTTGATCTCAGTGGGTAATGCCTCCCTTTTCAACCTTGCTTGATTTTGTTCCGAAGGCCTACAGGCCCGGGTGTCTTTCTTCGTTACCTATCTCATGTTCTACTTGGTGCTTTACTGGTAGCCAGGTTTTATCCACGAGCACCGTGATCGGTACCATGCCCAAACAGGCAGCTTGACTGCAGCAGTCAGTGGCATAACACAAAAGTGCAGCAGCCAAACTGAGACGGCTTAGCGCACCTGCGCGCAAACATTGTCGTGCAGATGGAGCCGATGGAGTCTCAGTTTCTTTGCAACTGAAACTTGCTCTTGGCTGTTCTTGCATGTGGCGATCGGGTTGCAAGCCAGCCCTCATGTTTTCTCGCACGTGCTGCCCCAAATTGTCTCAAAACCTCTTTGAGCTAGGCAAGGCACATCCAAATCATCCAACATGCGAAATTCGTGCAGCTACGAGGGGCTGGCAGGAAGTGCCGTGCTAGTGTCGACAGTTCGTGGGTGTTCTGGCATCCGGGTCAGCAACGGAACCGAGGGCCAGGAATGGGGACCGGGTTGCAAGTTGAATTTGTATTGCAAGGTCTGAGGCGTATCGGGTCAGGTTTGTGCATGGACTTTGCAACCGCTTAAGGCGAGTGTCAAGTGCATTAGTGCAGGTAGCCGGTTTTCCTGGTTTGCAGCCATGTCTTCGGAGAGAGGTGCAATGGAGCAGCTCCAGGATATGCGTGGGCAGTTCTACAGGCCGGACGCCGCCACCGAAAGGAGCAGAATCGACATGGCGAGAGGTCGGCCTGCGACACCCCTTACAGTCGGGTCTGACCGGAAGGTGGTCAAGCTTCCCATCCGGAGCTGCAAAGGGCAACGGAAGCTGCCCCCTCGTTATTGCAGACGTTTTCATTTGAGGACAGCACCGCCATGGGCCGTAGATCAGCCAGCCGTGGAGTGGATATCAATGACCAAACCGCCATTCAGCAATGCAGCAGGTTGATATGTTTCGTTCGTATCATAGGGCTATCATCCGCCCCGAGATGTACAGCCGGATGCTGCAGCTGGAAGTCGCTTTGAATTGAAGACAGCGGACGAGTCAGTTTACAAAGCACGGCAGGAGCCCTGGCCCAAAGCACCAGGCCGGTTGGCCGGTGCATGCGTCCAGGGCAAAGAAAGCATGCATGTGGTTGGATGGATGTTGGCGCAATTCTCTAAGATTGTGAACTTCCGGATTGTGCCGGCTGTTGTAAAGCGGCCATTGCCATCGCAGGGGGCCACAGAGCGACGATTTTGCGTGACCATCACGGTGCCGAAGTCCGATAAGGAATCCCGAACATAAAGGATTGATGGATTCCCCCCAACCGAAACGACCCGGGGGGGGCAGACTAAAGCCTAAGCCGCAGCCAAGGCCTTGCACTAGGCAGATCAAACCACTCAGCCACGGATCCAGGCTTCGGCACCCAGGACGTCACATGGAAGTCCCCAACGCAGGCTGTGGATCCATGGGTCCGTGGGCAGTGGCAGCAAATGCTCGAAAGCTGTCGGCAACAGCGCGTGAGGGGGCGGCACCCGAGTTTTCACAAAGCCACGGGTCACTGGTGCAGGAGTTGAATCCTGTGGAGACCTGTCACAGACCACATCCCCCCTTTGAAACTTTTTCACTGGGCGGTTGAGGCTCGTCTTTTTTGGCAGGCAACGGCCGTTAGACAGGGCAACGCCTCAAAATAAAAATTGACCCTGGCACAAGCACGAGCCCAGTTACAGGAACATTGGAGGCTTGCGTGCTCCGGCTGCCCAAAAAGCTTTTCCAACGCGGCAGCTGGCACCCAGAGGCCCAGGGATAGCGGATGCAATTCCGCAAAACTCGCGACAGCACATGACAGCACGCACGGCACAGGCGGATAATACGCACTAAAGCAAGACAGCTTCTGCATCAGCCGCAGCACTTGGCAATAAAGGATCGCGTTGCTTGTGCATAACCAGCTTCTCGCGGACCCCAGAGCTGACCATTCCGCAGCGTGGCGAGTCGTCCGACGAAGGGCTTTCAGGACAGAAAGTCCAACCTTATGATAGATAATATGCTTGTCCCGTGGAGTGAAATGCACCACACTTTCTGACACCATTGCGCCATGCCGCAATTGTACACCAGGCCCAATGCAGCGGAGAACAACAAGAAGTTAGAGGCCAGAGCTCTCATTAACCGCAACACCCGGATCAGGGACCATTTGTAATAAAAGAGTTGCAGGAGGCGGAGGCTATCGGAAGGGCAAGGCCCTGGCACCTGATGGACTGGTAAGAGGAGTTGTTCCAAATGCTTGACCACACCGCTCGCCAGAGCTTCCAGAGGTGCTACAAACGTACAAAGAGTTTCGAACCCAACCCGATCTACCGACATCTTGGTTTGAAGCCAGGGTCGTTACCGTCAGGGCATAAAGGTCAAAACGCGGACCCCGCGAATTTATCGACATATCTCCGTACGGAACGTGGCATCCAAGCTTCTTGCCTCAATGATTTCGGTTTCGTGGACCGAAATCTTCCTCCGAAGCTGTTTGAGCCTTTTCTGCAGCCAAATCAGTGTGGTTTCAGTCAAAACCCCGGCACAAAACACTCATATTTTATCCTGCGGCATGCGGGAATGCTTCAACATGACTCAAAAGCCCTTTAACTTATTGTATTCTGTCGGACACGCCGGTTTGTCGACCGCGTCGTGTAGGCACGGGGTGCCGCAAACAGAGCTATAGATCTCGTGGCCACATTTACCGCGACTCCAATTTTGAGCTGTATTCAAGTTCAAGGTCAAAGGTCTCTGGAGACTTCGGGTCCGGTATCAGGCAGGTGTGCCCTTTAAGCCCCTGCTTGATCATTCGTCTGCTGTCGGTAGCTTTTGAGGCCCCACAATCGTCGGGTCGACCCAGCACCATTATGCGCATGACATGCTGTTGCTCTCGCCGATCCGACCATTCCGCAGCTCCAAACAGTTCTGCACAAACTTGAAGCCGACATCGGTCTATACGGGATGTTTCTGAAACATGCTAACACCGAGTTGTTAATCGATCCCAGACATGGACCACAAGGCCTGTTTCAAGGACGGTACTTATGCTCCTACAGCGGAACCTGTGAAATACTTCGGGAGACTTAGGGTTTATGGTTTCTTGGAACAAAGCCTTTGAGACTGCATTCTACCACAGAAGACCCCAACCATGTCAGACCGTACTGTTTGATGATTTACTGCGGGATACTTTAGACAGCCGTTTGATCAAATCGCCAGACCCGACAGAGTCTCCTTCCCAAGGCATATTTTCACCTTGCAGCGAGCCCCTTTACAGTGTATATAGGCTCATAGCATCATCGGGCCGCACGTTAAGTATGCCCCCATAGCCAGACACGTAGGAAAGCAAAGCCGGCACCAATGCCTGCCAATTTGCGAGCAGGGCCGTAACAAAAACATGCCAAGGTCTGGACGTCCTATCATTGCTGGGAAGCTTCCGTCTTTGCTTGCGTTCACATGTTTCGGACTTGCTACATCAAGCTGCAATCACCCCCGTTCCGCATGCATGAGGTCAGTTCCTGTCAACCAAAGGGATGCATGGATCTTCTTCGCTTCCCGAGAACTACACTCCACGGAGCTGCCAGCTTTCTTGCCCGAGTCTCTGGCCTCAATCCTCCGGCATTCTCCACCTGCTCGCAGGAAGTTATTTGCGGTCCTCAACCCAGAATCGTGTACGGATTCGGCTGGCCGCCCTCTCGGCCTCTCGCCCCTGCTTCGAGCTTGGCTGTGTTCCTTTCACTGACAGGAGCGTGCCGGCGAGCTTCACACCACGGACACGAGACCGGTGTGAGTTTGACAAAAAAAGACTTATACTGCAGCGAGGCACAGTTCAATTCGTGCCGAAGGGAGTCCTAGGCTCTTTGCGGTCGAGGCTCGAGAAGACAAACGCATCTCAAGCATAGCTTTTGTGCCTTTCTGCCATGGCCAGCAGTGGGGCTTCAGACCCAGCATACTAGTGCCAATGAAACGGTGTGGAAACCGACTTCGGAAGACTTTGCACGTGCGCTTCACTGCCAGGACGTCGCCATGATGCCGACAGGGCCAGCTTACCAGTGCTTGGAGTCTCTTGTTAGCAGGACTCATTCTTGCGGTACCCAGGCTGAAAGGCAAGTTGGCTTCCCTCGAGGATTTCATATCTATGCAGAACGAGGCTTGGCAGCCCGGCAACCCTATCATTGTTTGTGGCATCTGATAGTAACGTGATGCTTCAATATGAACTTCTCGAATGTGAAGTTATGAAGTGTTGCTAGCGCGGAGATCATATAAAAGGTATGTGGAAGGGAAGTTCAAGGCTAGTCTTCCTGCAGGAGCTGGCTGCACAAAGGCAGGAGATCGAGAGCCTTCGAAATGACAAGGTGCTGAGATTCGCAGTCTTGCATGACCGACCTCTTTGCTTGAATGTCTGCAGACGGGCATAGAAGACCACTACCAGGCTCAGCTACAGGACCGATGTGATTGAAGATGGATGCTGGTCATGGATGTGGCTGGTGTGACCGGGTTGAGGCTTGGGCATGGCTTGGGGTGCCACAGAACTGCACTGGTACTTCTTGCGGCGCCACCGCTTCCCCGAGGATGGATCGGTTTCGGTTGAATAGACCAACGTCTGGGAAAAGTCAAGAAGTGGGAAAGGGATGGGTCTTGCATGGTCTTGTGGTTGGCTCGGAAGTGTGGCGGCTTTTGTGCAGGGCAGAGATCTCCGGCCTGGGAGCCTCGATTTAGGTCTGCGAGAAAAATCGGGAGCGCAATTGCCAAGGCCGAAGCAGGTTGTCTCCTTCTGTTCCGCAAGCGGCCAGGCGGCCTCCCACCAAAAATCTAGCTGGTTTCGCTTTGACCTCGCCACGGTCCCGTGGTTCTCGCCGTGTGTTGTGTTGCCTACTACATCAGCGAGGGGTACTCGCTGGTGCAAGCTGGTTGAGCATATTGCTGGTCGCAAGGCTGCGGCTGCATCTATCTACATCTGTTGAACTAAACAGTTCTTTGAGGCGGCCTGCACCCTTGCATACAGCTCAGAAGCATCGTCAAACAGAGCAAAATGAAACAAATGAATGCAAAAGACAACGGTACTTCTGAAACGGTCTTCGAGTTGTCCTCCAGTGTGGTCCTCGAGTGGTTTTGTGGTGATGTTTCGAATCATTTCGTGTTGGTCTGGTAAGTGGGTTGTATCTCCGTCAATCCTGCCTTGGTGAAGGTAGGGTTCCCTTGCTGCAATTGCACCGGTCAGATAGACTCATAACGCTCTGAGACTGCAATTCGACCTTCGGGGTCGGTGGACTGAGGAAGTCCAGAGTGAAACAGGGTGAAGTGCACCTGCAACTGGTCCAGGAGCTAAAGAAGACCATGGTTGGCGATGTTCAGCGGTTGCAAGATGAGGTGCAGCATTCCTATCAAATCCTGCAGCCAGGGAGAACTGTGATGGTGCTTGGGTTGCTGCCAGGTCAAGCGACACTTCGCTCAACAGAAGGCAGGCAGTTACGATGCTGGAGAGACATCAAGTGACGGCTGTCAGAGGCAGAGAATGCTCGCCTACAGCAGCAAGAGGGGCCCCAAGCAGCTGCTGTCCCGTCTCCTGTCATCTCCATGTTGCTGTGCTCTCTACCAAGATCACGACATTGAAGGGCGAGAAGACATCGCTTCAACAGCAGATTCTGGGCCACCCACCGAAGACTTCGCACTCGAAGAGGAGGCTAGAAAGATGGGGTTCTAGGTCTCTAGATTAGCTCAGGTTTGCAGCGCCGCATACAAGAAATCGAGGAGCAGGTGCTTGGTGCAAGTTTGCCTTGCAGACTAGTGTCCCGGTTTGTTGGCGCTGAGGTGGGCTGCGACTGAGGATGCCATGTGCTGACCAAGGGCAGGAACCTGCACCTGACGGCATATCCGGCATATCTGCCCTTCTGCCACGGTTTCAGCGGTCCTGGCATGCATGTGGCTAGGGGAAGTTCGTTGCAGGTGTCCATAGGGCCCGTGTCCCGAGATCCTGGCTCACCAAAGGCAATTTCGAACATACAGTACTGTAGCACACTGTCACTGTGGCATCCCGAACCTGCGTGTGCAGGTGCAGACCAGGATCCTCCTTTTGGCAGAGTGGCATTGCTGGAATCCGGAAAAGGCCCCGCCATTTTGGGAAGGTGTCGATGGAATGAGAGCCTTGCACTCATGCATAGGGCATAGGATTTTGCGCTTTTGCCGTGGGCCTAAACTGGCTGCAGGACGCCATTGACTTTGTTTATACCTAGTAATAAGTGTGTTAACAGTTCACATTTGAATTTGGACCTTCCGGAGATCCGTAACCGCAACCTTTTACGCGGAGATTCAAAGCAGTTTGTGCGATCGAAGAAATTGAAGACTCTATGATCCAGAGCGCCTTCCGCCATGGCGGCCCTAAACATCGCCAAGATTGTGCTGTGAGCTCATCTGTCCGCAGGGTGGAGGGGTTTGAAGCTGTTGCAAAGCACTCCATGGTAGGCCAAGAGAGACTGAGGCTGGACAAAGACAGCTGGGAGAACATCCCTCCGATGGTGTTCAAATCGTTCCAAGCCACGGCTGCCAACATGCCGCAGTCTTAAGACGCATCGCCTACAACAACATCGGCAGGTCTGAGCCAGTCTCGATGCAATCCCAAGGAACGGCATCAAAAAGTGGGCAGATGTGTATGAAGGGTTGTTGCCCCAGGGCTGGCAATTGTGTGACTTGCTGCAGCTGCGTTTCATCACATGTGGTGTAGGCGAGCCAAGAGTCAGAGCGAGTCCATGAGCAAGTACGAGGCGGGCGCCTTGCGCTAAAGCCATATTTGACCTCAAGCGCCCACGTCTGTTCGAAGGAGAAGTTGGCAATACTGGAGCGAAACCTAGGAGCGTTGCCTTTGACTTACTTGGTCGACCCCATGCTGACACCCAAGACAGGGAGCAGACTTTGGACATTGATCGCACCGAGGCAGGAACGTTCAGAAGCCATCACGCAGGACATGACCGCGGCCTCTGAGCTGGGAAGGCTCAGTCTGTGTGGATCGCAAGGGTCTGACTGCTTCTCTCACTGTCAGCTAATCATAGCTAATGTAACAGAAGGCAACAAGCCATGACCTGCGCTGGTGGGTTTCAGCGCATGGAACGGTGTGTTGCGGTAATGTTCAAGCATTTCGGCTGGAAGCCTACGTTTTCTGTACCCATGAATTTAGCGCCGCACGAGAAATGTGCTGCTGAGGCCGGACCTTTGGGGTGGAGATGGATTTGCCTGGGCGACAGGATTGGGCAGGTGGCGCAGCTGCAAGGACCATGTAGTCAAATCGGGCATGCGACTTCGAAAGAAGGTGCTGGAAAGCCCAACGCTCCACACGAGGAGGTGCTGACTGAGGACTTCGTAGTGCCCTCGTAGTGCCCTCGTAGCGCGTAGTGCTGGTGGAAATGAAATTATGGTCATGAACGGGCAGGATGCAGACCTTCCACCTGGTAAGAAGCTTACACCGCACAGACGTGACGGGTTTCGCATTGCATTGCAGTTTGATGGCAGCATCCCGCAGACTTCACGATTCAGGAGTCGCCATCATGCAGACCAGCGGAATGCGCTGCATGCCCAGTGCTTTAAACTGGTGTAGACAATCACCGGCAACAGAACCGCTGTAGTTCATGGTCTGCATGAAGGGTGAGTCGACCTGTCGTATGTCGTATGCCCCTTCGTGCCATAGTCTTTCTGTGTTTGTTCTGATTTGTGACCATTGTGCGCCTTGGTGTCGAGCCAGCGAGTGCGGCTGATGCTTATTGTAAATTGAATCAAGATATAGGTGGTATGCTGTTCCACGAGCAGCTTGCTGACGAAGCGCAAGAAGCGTTTTTGTCAAGTTTCAACTTGATGCTTGTCGCTCGACAATTCTGTGGAGTGTTGGGCGCTCTCTGCTGGATAAATGGCAGGCTTCAAGCCTAGGAAGAGAGCAGTGCCAGCGCCCCAAACCCCACAAATCCAACATAACATAGTTGTGGTTGTGGCAGCTCCAATCACACAAGCACATTTTCACAAGGCTTGTGTTCAGTGGCAAAAGCAGCGAACGCGCCTTTTGGCTCTTACATCTTTCGTCCTCTGACGAAGAAGGATGATGGCAGCGAGTTTTTGCAGTCTTTTCCCAAAGCGTCACATGCAGGATGGTGGCTGACTTCCGGCTCGCTGGAGTTCTTGCAGTGCCGTTAGCAATGCCTGCAGCCGGTGGATTTATGTGCGTTGCCACATCCAAAGCCACCTTCTTTTCGCCGCCTTCACGGCTCCCGGACATGTTGTGCCATGTCCTCGACAGGTTTCCTTGCTGTCCTGTCCTCGCGCCCTTGAGCATCGAATCCTGTCCCGGGATGTCCCGGGTGTGCCTTTTTTCTGAACTGTCTGCATCTTGGGTCGACCGGTTTAGCGTTGCAGTTGACCGAGTGCCGTTTCCGCTTCAGCTCTCTCTTGCCTCTTGCTCCATGTCCACTGTCGCGGAACAGATGTGTACACGTCTGAGTTGCAACCACCAGCTAACGACACCAGTTCGAAACCGTTTGCCCCAGCTATCAACAATTCCAGCTCATGTTTTGGGATATGAATAAATTTAAAAGAAACCACTTGTAGCCTGGTCAAAAGACTTGTGTGAACTACACAGGCAGTGAGCTTGTGAGAAGAAGCACGTTGCACGGTGAGTTACGTCTGACGTATACTGCCTGCCATCGGCCTTGTACGATGCTACTAGACAGCAGTTGCTGATAGATGCTGATAGTTGATGGGAGCATGTACCAACGGAAGGATTGGGAAGGCCTGCGCATCGTCGCCTTGCTTGGTCTCAAAAGACGTCTTTCCAGTCTGCGTGCTGTTGGTGTCGTTGGCCGCCACTGCTGTTGCTGTATTAGTAAATGTTGCCACTGCGTGAGCCGGTTGACTTGCATTTCGGGAAATAGCCGTAATCCTGTATCTTTGGCGCAGCTTCGCAAGTTGCTGAATGATAGCACATCTACCACATCGGCGACTATCGCTGCTAACCTATCTGCTGAGTTCCGGGTTTGGCTTCACTGTCTCTTGGCATACCTGCTGAAGGCATGATCGGCTTATGGCTTATGGTATGAGCCTTGATCAAATCTCTAGGCCATTGCGGATCACTATGTGCCATTGCCTTCTTGACTTCAAGCAACGACTGCGCCGGTGTTCGTTGCACGAAACGCATAGCTTGATGTAAACATCAACATGACATGTATACCTTATGGGGATGATTGCCATTGGTTGTCTCCGCTTGTGGGCCTCCGGTATTGCGCGACGATCAGGAGCCCACGTTGTCATACAGCATGTCTTCACAACTTTGGAAGGCAAGCCAAACCTGAAGGGCGTTCGCCCAGTGGCAGGCAATCCTCGAAGCGCAGATGTCGTGTTGTTCCAGCGTGCCGAAGTGTCGAAGTTCTGGGCACTCTTTTCTGAAGGCCTCGACCTGCGGACTATGGCGGATGGGACTGTGGCGAGAGATGATTTCGTCCTGTGTGGTCAGTTGTCCGGGGGCATGATACTGCATGCTGAAGCTTCAGACGAACTTAGTGACGAACTTCCTGCATCACTCGCTGGAAGCTCGCTGTGTCTTTTGCTTTCACCCAGCACCTCCTTTGCCAGGGTTGGCCTCTTCCTCCTTGGTCAAGCCTTCTCTCTTACCTTCTCTCTTGGATCTCTGATTCGTTGCAGCGGCCTCGTGGCTTCGGCCATAGGGCTAGGGGCCTCTTTAGTGTTGTTTGTTCTGTTGCGCACGGGTCAAGCTTCTGCAAAAGCCACCTGCCTTGTCTGCTTTTGCTGCGTACAGTTTTCTGAACGACCAGCAGCCTTCTTTTCGTTCGCCTTGTTTTGGCGTGGATCCGTCATGTGTTAGTGTCGCCGAAACTGCAACTGCCAGCTAAAGGCTCCTGCTGACGCTTCGGAAACGCAGCTGGGGGGGCTAAAGAACGAGACCGGGGCCTCCCTGCCAATCCAACGTAATGCTCCATGTCCTTCACAAGGCCATGCCCAAGTTGTTGCTTTCTTGTAGGGTTGGGACACTGAATCTGTGAGATGCTGCGAGCTTTGATGTAGCCTGGACTGGTTCGTTTCGCTTGCTTTTCTCACATCCTAAAGCCGGTTTCCCTACGATCTTCTGCAAAGAAGAGCCTGGTGTTGCTTTTGGTCTGCCAACCGGCATCTCGACCATGAATGATTTGGTGAGTTTGATGCTTCCAGCATGTTTTCAGTGTTTTCTGTTGGCATGGAAGACGTGGCCAACAGGCACTGACGTGTTGATTTTCTGGACTTGCGAGGACCTTCGTGGCAGTCTTGTACATCTCTTGAATTCGCTTGACTGATAGGTCTTTATAAAGAACCGGTGTAACACGTTGTGCTCAAGATCTCACCCAAACAATGAGCCATGCAGGTCACGAGGGTGCCCGTTGCGAACTTCAGCTTGACAGTACTACACACTTCGGAGAAAGTTCGTGGTCGCTGACAAACAAACGTGGAATTGCTTCATGAGGGATTGTTGCAGGTATAGATCATTGCAGACAGAGGACGCAATGTGTCCGACGTGCAAGAGCATCATGTAGGCATGCTGCATCCTTACACGAAAAAGGTTCAGCAGCCTGGGTCTTCGAACCAAATGTAGCGCTATGCAGTCCACCATGTTGGGGATTCACCTGCTTCGTGGGATTGTTCGTGTGCGAGATATCTCCTTGCCCTGCAGACCGAGACAAGGTTTGGAGAAGGAACTCGACACTTTGGAACTTGCCGACATCTTATGCCGTTGCAATGCGCATGTCGAGGGCCTGCAAGCATGCATGCACACCGGCTGGAAGATGCTGCAAGGCTTTCCA